ACATCTGTAGCATTTATTCTATTTGGATTGTACCTTTTAATTTAGGTGGTTTACACAAAATTGGCGGATATGCGCGCCAAAGCATGGGATGAGGATGATGAGGATATCCAACGGCCTGATGAGGAAACGATAGCCGAGCAAACCGAGAAGACCCGATTAGCATTGGAAAAAATAACGGAAAGCAAGGTGAGTTCACCATCTGGTTGTTCAGAGATACGTTCAGATATCGGGAGAACTCGATATTCTCAGTTCGTGATTGAAAGAACCTCACATTTGCTCAGGTAGCCTCAGCTTTACCTGTACGTCATGCCGAAAAGCAAGCACCTGCTCAATATATTAGATATACACCTAGTCAACAAAGTCAGGGCCATGCTGCAGGTTTCACATTTTTCGCTATTTTTTACATTGACTCCATTTATTACTCCATTCTTTCTACTCCATTTTTATTTTTCTATTTTTATTTTCATATCACCATAACGGATTATTAAATAGTGGCAATGCACCCGTCTTGTTAAGGTTCACAACAGCGAATCATTCGGATGGTGGAAGAGCAGAAGGATCCTATGGAGCCTCCGAAATTCAGGTAAGCCATGTTTATTTATAGTACGCAGATAGCGAGGAAGAACAACTTTTGCTCCCACGTTTTTCCTCTTTGGTTTCAAAGGAGTGGTAAATTATTTTTCGTAATCATTTCGATGTTTTTTTATCTTTCAAGATCCTTAGATGTTAATAATTTATCCATCTTTTTTTGTTTGATGGCTGAGATACCGAATTTAGAATAAACCAGAAAATTCCCCGAGCTCCTCCTTCACCTCCAGCTCCAGTGATGCATAGTCCTCCCCGAAAGGTAAGCCTTGCAGTGTTGTTTGCAGGTTCAACATTGCTGAATTGTTCAATTTCAGTTTTTTCAGTCGCTACAAATTTTGTATTGCTAATGATTACTAGCAATTTCTTGCTTTATTCTGACAGTTTCATGCTGTCTTTTTCCTTCGAATGTTTCTTTGTTTTCAGGTTACAACGAAAGATCAAAATGACTGGAAAATTCCGCCTTGCATTTCAAACTGGAAGAATCCTAAGGGTGAGATCTGAGATTTGAAGACAGTCTTTGTTCTAGAGCTATCAAGAAACCTTCTTCGGCTCGTCCCATCCCAGCACGT